TACGCTTCCTTATTGCGTAACATATTTTTTATTATTTTGAGGTTGGAAAAGCATTTAATATTCCACCTGGAACAACAGTTGATGTTGGTATAACACACCCCACTGAATTTGATTTCTACCTTTGTTCGCATGCAGGAATTCAGGTTTTCTTTTCTCATATATTGTTTCTTTAAGACGCTAAAAATATTCCTTGTTCATTTTTTATTTTAGTCTAGCTCTTCATTTGTATGATAACCATTTATCAGCTCCAACATTTTTGAATATAAGTGTAAATCATTGCTGGACTGAGGAATTTCTTAAAAAAACAAAAAAAGAAATAGAACTTTATCAAAGACATATTTCAGGATTTACTCATGCTTCCAATTTTGCTTACATCAAAGAATTTTCATTTTATTAAACATCGAAGCAAAATGGTAGATGTACACTCCATAACCCTTCTTTAGATGTTAGAAATTGAGTGTGATGTGATAAGTTGGCTTTTGGGGGTTATTATATCTTGACCATTTTGTTTCATCATATATTAACATATGGTTCCAGGGAACGTCTCGTCCATCCCATTATCATGTGCTCTGGGATGATAATCTACTGAGTGCTGATGAGCTACAGCAATTGACATATCAGATGTGCCATACGTATGTCCGTTGTACAAGATCCGTTTCGATCCCAGCGCCTGCTTATTATGCGCATTTGGTGGCGTTTAGAGCGCGTTATCATTTGGTTGATCGCGAACATGACAGGTATTTAAAACTTATCACCCGCATTACGTCCATCATGTCTCACTAAATTATGTCGGAAAGATACATCATGTTGGAAACTTATTGTTGTAATTAGGGAAATTCGATATTCCGTAATACTGCATGCAATTGATATTGATTTTTAAACTAAATTATTGTGATGCGCAGAAAGTTATCTTGCAACCATAGCTTCCATCAATGATTAGTACTCTGTTATAGTGGCGAAGGTTCTCAACCTTCTGGAACAAGTGAAGATACGACTTTGAGCAACATGGCGCGTGCAGTTCAGGTTCACCCAGATGCAAACAGTGTCATGTATTTCGCTTGAAAACGAGCCTCTTTTTTATTATTCCAAAGTTTTTTCTCGCAAAATCAAATTTTTTCTTATACAATTTATTTATGTTCACTTTATTCTGCGATTTCTTTTCTCAGTTCATGAACGTAGCATTTCTTCTTGAATACAATAATTCATGCTCATGAGCATATCTGATATCTTCTGAATTATATTATTTCTTCTTAATACCATGAAAATGATTGTGCACATATACCAAAAAATCCATTTTTTATTTTTGTATGTTTTGAATCATCGCTTTTGAAAACCATTCATTTATCTTCCTGTCTTTCATTTAGTAAACCTTCATCTCTATTTTATATAAAATTTCTACAGTTTGGGTTGGAACTTCACTCACCTTGGTAGTTTGAAACTGAAAATACAACTCCTTTCAGTCTTAAGCTTTATATGACTTCATTATCAAGTGGACTCTTCGTTCTACTGTACTTCTTCATTTTCATTGCAAGCAGTAATTTGTTTCCAAGTAGGAGGAAGCAGAAAGCCTTCACTGTAATCCACAGATCTGTGTTCTAATTTTGTTTTTACTTTTTGGTGTATGTGCGACCTACCAGTATAATGTTTTCTGATCATTCGAAAGTTCTTTTCCAATACATGGAATATTTCCCCTAAATTTTTTAGGCAAGTAACCAGTGAAAAAGGCTTCTTCATTCTTACTGATTATGCAGTAATCATTTGAAGAGATTTCTTCAATTAGTCACTATCAACTTTGATGTTTTATTCGTTATTTGCATGCGCCTGCATATTGCTTTAAATGTTCCAGGAAGGAAGGGAAAAGATGAAGATTACAGAGTTCGCAGGTTGTCAGATACTACCTGTAGGTATCATTTTGTCCCCGTTTTTGAAAGTTTATTCTGCATCGAACTAGTGGTACAAATGGTGCAGCGTGAAGCGTGCAGTGACGATATACAAGTGCGGTCGACCGCCATCCATTTTAAACGGCGGCCTAGGCCAGGAAAATTGTGTCACGGGTACGATTCCGTTACTCATTTGTATTAGATCCGCTGAGATATAAATTCATGCATATGTCTAGGGTAAATTGTAAAAGATGCGGTATAAAGCTATAATGCACTCCTGGCTTTGTAGACTTCTGGCTTTGTAGCACTTCTGGCTTTGTAGCATGCAAATTGTGATCATCATTGTCGGGCAGTTCTGGTCCAGTATGTATCAAAATGATTAGCAGTTGTCTTTCTTTATCGGTATTACTGCCATCTCTCTATTCCTTCATTTCTTTGCTTATTTCTAGCAGTCTTTTATCTTATCAGATAAAGTGTTGGTTATATTGGAAATGTTTTAAAATCCATACGCCTTTCAATTTTCTGCCCCGGTTCACTTCCAGTGAAACCCCTTTTGAGATGACTGTGACCTTTCACTCTTACTACAAGGAATATTTATCATTAGAGAGTTTTAAACCAGCTTGCTAATGAAAGGGATATTTTCGAATCCAAATTTGGATATTTCATCCTTTTATACCTAGGCTAATCCTTCATTCCCCTAGGAATCCCGGTTATAAATCCGGTTCCCCGATGCTATTCATTTCCATCTTGTATGATTCTTTGAATTGATCCATCTTTCTTTTATAATGATGGACAGTTCTACTGAACCTCCCTGCTGATAATGTTCTATTCTTCTTCCTTCTTGGCTCTTACTGATATTCTTAAACTTAAGATCCTGCTTTTCCCCGAAACTGCTCTTCCATTATGCTCTTCTAAAGTTTCATTTCTTATGGAAGCAAATGCAAGTCTTATGTTTTTCCGTTTGTTGCAATAAACTAGTTTGTTTATCATTCGTAATTTTTGCATAACCCTGTTTAATCCGTTAAAAATTGTAGCAAAATGCATACTACTATCGATCTTCGTCGGGGTTGTTGCTATTGATCCTGACAAACCATGAGAGAGTTTGTAATATATCAATAAAGAGAAAATGTATGATATGAATGTGATAGTTTTGTCGGGGGAAAAACAAGGGTGTTTATTGGGCTATGAAAGAAGTGATAAGGGTCATTTGCATTACAAAAGCGTCAATAGAATTGATGATAAAATTGATTGCAGTTATTGTATTTCTTATACTCTTACTGAGTAGTTTGGTCGTTTGAAGCTGTAATAGAAGTGGTTATCTTAATTTGGTTGTTCTTCCTATAATTACACCGATAGTATACGTAAATCTTTAAATGAAAAAAAAAAAGTAAAAGGATGACAATATGGAAGTTGTCAACCATATGGTCTTATTATTATCATCAAAATGAAATTTTAGCAATATGTAATTTACTAATAGTCATATTGACGAATAGAAGAAATAAAGGAATCCTTGATTAAAATTAAATAAATTAAAATAGTAAATAACTAATAATGTGTTACTCTCATGAAAATTATTCCTAAAATTTATGGCTTAAATGGTAACCTCTGAAACTTGCCAATTATATTCCAATAGAGAAGGATTTCTTATTTATTCACAATTATTTGAAATGAATATATTTTTAACATAAACTTTTTTATCATATTGATCGTAGTGATAATAAACTTTCAGGGATAATTTTACAGCATAAAGTATTCAACGATTATTATTATTATTATCATTATTATTATTGTTATTATTACTATTATTATTATTATTATTATTATTATTATTATTATTATTATTATTATTATTATTATTACTATTATTGTTGTTATTATTGTTGTCAGGATAATTAAACGAAAGATCACATAAATCTCTAAATGACAATAGCTAAAACAAAATCATGTATGTGAAAAATGAATTTTACATTTAATAAGTGTTCTTCTCTTTTTTTCCTCCTAAAAAGTAACCATTTGCATCACATTTATTTGCTACATAACTATTTATTTTAATTAAAATTAATTTTCCTTATCTAAAATAATCGATTTTAAAGCAATTATCGGTTTTTTTTTCTTTGTTTTTATTAATTAATTGTTTACATCTAAAATAATTAATTTCAAAATTTTATATAATATCGATAAAAAGTTAAAAAAAAAAAACTAGGAATAATTATATAAAATATTATCTTCTTATTATTTTTATTTTAGCAATCTCTCCAAATCCTATTATTACCGCAAATACTTTACCAATTTATGTAACAGTTGAACCAAAAGAATTAATTTTTCATGATCATTCTAAAATGAGCAGTGTTTTATTACGCATAATGTTTGTTTAACATTTATTTCAATTTATTTAAAATTTAAAGTT